TCCCACAAGGAAATAGCTTACCTCCAAACATCCTTAGTGAACTAATTAGAAATAAAATCCAATCACAGGAGGCTAACACAACCAAAAATAAAGGGAAGGAACTGTTTAAACATCTTCTGAGATATTAACACAAAACAAAAAAGACAGTGTCATAACTGGAGAGATCGCACACGCAATTCACGGGTTGAACCAATTATATGTGGGAAGGATATCCAAGGAGCTAAATACATCTTGAAATTCAACGGGAAGACTGCCATAAGACTTGATGAAGGTGATACAGTATATAAGGGTTTAAATAGTCCCAACAAAGGCCACGAAAGCAACAGTCAGTTCCAATTTTTTCTTCACTTTGTTTTTATGGGTCGATAAATAGAAATTGGCCACGTCTGTTCTATTTGAAATAATAAATAAATGCTTTTTCATTCAACTACATTTATGGTCTGTCCCGATCTCTAAAGTAACCCTTGGACCGCCTATATCTAGTAGATGGCCCGAGCCTCTTTTTTGTTTTGGAGCATCAAGTGCCTTTCTACCCTTGGTGAAACCAGTTTGGTCGGGTTAATTCAAAGTTGGCATAATGTTAGAGACATTGAGCGAGTCATTTTGCACATAGTTTTAGGTCTGTGTTCAGAAACCAGATGGGGTGAAAATTTTGGGGCGAGTCTGGCTCCTTACTTGGCTTAAGTATAGTAACAATCAAAAAACGCAGTAAGAATCTCGGGAGGAAAAAAGCAGAGACTGCAGTTTTACTGAATATAAGATGGAGGTTATAGTATTCATGCAAGAATCTGTCTGGTGCAGGGAACTTGTTAGAAGGGAGGGAGTCTATGGGTTGCTGAAGAGTAAATGGGGAGTCTAACTGAGTGAGTGGGGAAGTACTTAGAAATGTCTTGTCACCTATTTACTTTCCCCATCTAACATCTTCAGAGGGTTGGGTAGTGTTAGGGCCAGCCTTCAAATTATATAGTGTACTGTAATATGAGCTAAACAATTCCACAATATCTTCCTACTTTACTGTTATCACTAGGATGAATCAGATGCGAAATCCTAGTTTTGCAGCATTTGCCTGGTGTATCTCCTAGCTAGTAGTTTTGCAGCTTTATTACCACTAGAGTAGAAGCTCACTTTCAGTGCTTGGATATGCTTGTCATACTGGTCAATTAGGGCTAGCTTGAGTTCATAGCACTAAACAGATTAGGCTGTTGAGATTGATGGCTTCCCTATATTGGGTGTCAAGGGTATGAATTTTAAGTCTCCTCCAATGTAAAGAATCTGACAGCTGCAACAGACATATGGCATACAGCGGAACAAAACTGTTCCCAGCTGGCCACGTCAGTATGCCATAGGTCTGTGGCTTTTACCCTTCTACTATAAGATCATGGTCACTTTAGCGAACAGTTCCCCTAACGTTCTCCTCTAAATGTTAACCCCCCACGTGTGCCGTTCCAGACAGGGATCTGTTTTGTTGCTCTCCCCTGATTGTATGGGGAGAAATGGCCGGTGGGGGGTGGAGGAGGGAGCCACAAGTTCAGGATGGCAGAGCGGTGTGCAGAACGGAGCCGCCAGGTGTCAAATCCACGATCGCGGTGGCTCTATGATCTTTGCGTGCCAGGTGGGTCGTATGGCTGAGCAGGAGGATCGATAAATGTGTAATATTTACCGATCCTCTGTGATCAGCTGATCACTCCAATGTTTGTAAACAACTGGAGACACATAGTACTATGTGTCCCCAGTTATGAATGAACAGTAAGTGCTTTACCTCACTTCCTGTTCATTCACGAGTTTCTCAATGGGGAGAAGCAGCTCAGTACAGAGGCTTCTCCCCATTCAGAAACTGGTTTATAGTAAAATATTTACTATCAACAGTTTCTCAATGAATGGGAAGCCTCTGTACTGAGTGCTTCTCATTCATTGAGTGCTGAGGCTGCAGAAAAAGATTGAGGACTCTGTCCTCAATTTCCTTTTTCTATGTAAAAAAAAGAAATGTCAGGGGCCTGTTTAGACCCCTACTATTTCCCCGTGCTGCGGTGCGTTAACGCATCGCAGTGCTTGATTTTTTTTTTAAAGTGCACAGTGCACAAACCATTTTTAACAAGTCGTTTATTTACAGGGTTTTTTTTTGGGGGGGGGAGGGGTTTGTTTACATCAGAGGTCCCCCATAACATTCCTAGCAGACCTAAAGGGTCTGGTATGAATTGAGGGGGAGACTCCACTGTGTTTTTTTTGTTTTTTGTTTTTTTTGTGTGGTGTCAGAAATTTAAACTCAGTAAACATGTAATGTCACTTTATCTGCAATGAAATTTAACTTATCCAAAATTAAAGAAATTTGGATCCATCAATGTTGAAATGAATTGACTTTCAGACCCGAAAAATGAAATTAAACTAAACACATTTTTTGCCGCTTTACAGTTGTAGCTTAGACCAGGGAACCAAACTCATGACTAGCCACCCACACAACAGCAACTTTGCCCACTGAACCACCACGAGACTGGCTATGTAGGCACCCAGAAATTAGGGCCTAATCAGACATATAGGTTATTTGGAGTTAAATTTTGGCAGGTGGAAATCCATCAGAGACCAGAAATAGGATGAAATTGAGGCAAGTGTGTGTGTGTGTGTGTGTACACACACACACACACACACCCACACACCATAATATTATGACCACCTGACGTTTGTAGGCAAATTAGCTATAATTTCGCGCTGAAGTTGCTATAGGGCCAGACCATTATAAATAGGGAAGCAGGTTGTTTACCACGTCAGTAGAAGTTATTTTTTTTTCTGAAGATATATGGGTAAAGAACGTGATTTAACAGCCTTTGAACGTGGGATGATTGTTGGTGCTCAAGGCATGGAGCGAGTATCAGCAAAACAGCAGAATTTGTTAAATGTTCAAGAGAAGCTGTTGTTAAAGTGTTTAAAGACTGGACTGTCAGCCGAAAATCTGGGTCTAAACGTGCGAATTGTGGCCGACAGCGACTAGTCAATGTTAGGGCAGAACGGAGAGTGGCAAGACTGGTACAAGACAACAGAAGGGCAACAGTGCAGTGTCAGATTGCTCGCATCACCTTTCAACATCTCGTGGAGTCACGAGCGGCCCAACAAAGTCATCTTGTGGAGTCATCTCATGGCCCAACTAAGTACTGGTGCGGTGCTCATAATAATCTGGCCACTGTGGCCCGATTATTATGACCACCCCATCAGTACTTCGTTGGGCCACTAGATGACTTCAATTGTCGGCCACAATTCGCACGTTTAGACCCAGATTTTCGGCTGACAGTCCAGTCTTTAAACACTTTAACAACAGATGCTACTGAACATTTAACACATTCTGCTGTTTTGCTGATACTCGCTCAATGGCTCCAAGCGTCAACAATCATCCCACGTTCAGAGGCTGTTAAATTGCGTTGTTTACCCATATCTTCAGAAAAAAATCACTTATTCTGTCGTGGTAAACAATCTGCTTCCCTATTTATAATGGTCTGGCCCTCTAGCAACTTCAGCGTGAAATGTTAGCTAATTTGCCTACAAACGTCAGGTGGTCATGATAATCTGGCCACTCAGTGTGTGTTTATGTATGTATGTATGTATGTATGTATGTGTGTGTGTGTGTGTATGTATGTATGTATGTATGTATATATGTATGTATGTATGTATGTATGTATGTAATGTATGTATATATATA